CTCGATAGATGTCAGAAGACAAGAATATAAGGGCAAGAAGTTACCAGGGAGGAAAATGAAATATGTTCCAAGGAAAAGGGAGTTCTGAATATTGAACTTTAATTTTAACTCATTATTTGGGTTGCCAGTTTGTTAATCTGCTGTTAGCCTATTAACCTACAATCTTTTTTTAAAAAAATTTTAAAGATGTTGATGGATCTTTATTTTATTCATTTATGTATATGTGGTGCTTCGAATCAAACACAGTGCTTCACACATGCTATGCAAGCACTCTACCACTGAGCCACAACCCCATCCCTTTAACCTGTGATCTTTGAAGGTGATCGTTATACTTGTTTTTCTTTCTTTTAAATAACATATTTTCCCTCCTGATTATACAATAATAATACAAGTTCATGGAAGACAGGACTGTTTAAAATAATAGAAATTCATGAAGGACAGGAATGTTTAAAACAATAGAAATTAGCTGTATACACTGGATGGTTAATATACTTTTGATATATTTTCCTCTCCTTTATCCCTGCCCTTTCCTGTGCCTCTAAATTTATATAAGGGTAATTAATATGCATCCAGATAACATAGTGTTTGTTATAAAACTGAAATTCATACTTTTATTCCTTGCTTTGCCATTAAATATTCTCTAGAAACAGGATAAGGTATTTTAAGATCAGTATAATCTTAAAATATATGGATGCTCTGTATTTTTAATCATTCTCTTGTATTTTGAAATTCTAAGTTTTTTTTTGTCCTTTTAGTACAACTTCAGAGTAAATATCGTTATATATAAATTTTTGTATGTATTCCAGATGATTTTTTTTATGAGAAATTTTTAGAAGTATTATTACTAGATCAGTGGTAATTATCTTGATAGGTAGTTGCTTGCTCTGATATCCAGGCATTATATCAATTGAGACATCCTTAGACAAGAGTGCTCTTTCCCTGTAACCTCACTGTCCATAGATATTATTATTTAAAAGAAAATAATAGGTTAGAAAGTGATGCCATTGTTTAATTTATATTTCTTATTAGGTTCAAGGTTTTTTCATAGTTGCACTTGTTTTCTGGTGTGACCACTCTTAGTATGCTTTTGTTGATGAAAATTGAATGAGTCTAATACATTAGGTACGGTTTTACTGGTAGTACGTTTTATGAGGTCAGCTGTCTTTATTGCCTATGATATTAGACTGTACCATATTTTAATTTGTAGTATAAATAATACATTGTTAATTATGAATGAAGAGTGTATAAACATTACTGCTTTGTACTTTTCTTTTTGAGTTGGTTATATTAAGGGGTTCTCAGGAATTATTTTCATGGTTTTCCTAGGTTTTGATCATTTGGTGTGAACCTCTTGTCAACCTCAGTGGCCACTCTACTCTCATTTATTTTTCTCTGTCTCCATCTACACGATGTACAACAGCTATCGACAGTCATGTTGTTGGCTGATGATGGATTGGCATCTTTTGGTAGGGATATAATTGACACTATTGCTTTCTGAGTTATGGCGCTGAGGGTAGGTGTCCACTTGAGTTAGCTATAGGAGTGCGTTTGACCTTTTGCATTGTTAGTAATAGTTAAATTTTTATCAATCATGAAAATAATCTGTTTTTATTATTATATATTCTTTAATTTTCCTTAGTTTAACATTCATGAAACTTATGTCATTTAAAATCCTTACATGGTTGCTTAAAAAAAAGCCATGTAAATTTCTTAGATGTATCTCACTTTAATTCTTGATATCTCTGCAGGAGTTCCATCAGATGCAGGAGTTTGAACATCTTTTATGGCTCAAAGTGATTGAAATTAATAGCGGAAGACTTTGTGTGTGTTTGCCAGTAAAACTTATGCTGAAAAGTGTGATTCTATCTTGTTAAAAGTATGTAATCCAAGTTGGGGTAAGTGAGAGAATTTTTTTCCCTGTGTTATGTGACATTTAGAGACAATAAATATCATCTCAAAAAATTTTTATAAATAAAAAAAATATTTAATGCTTTTAAATAAATCATCTGTTTTAGAGTTAATTTTAGGTGCTCCATATCTTCACTTGTTAGATTGTCACCTATTGATTATAATATGTGTTCCATCATAAAAACTTTGAGGTGTCTATGCCTGTGGTAAAAATATAAAATGTGGCATGAGGGGTGTACATGAAATCATATTAGTGGTTTTCCCTGGGGAGGTGGGATGAGAATAATAGTGAGTAGAAATGTACTAAGGCTTTATTTATAATGTTGTAAACATTTTCTTTTACAAAATTAGAAGCATTCATGTCAGAATGATATTTATCATTAATGTTAATTATTTATAGGTAGTAATGTATATATCTTCTTATTACATTAGTATTGTACTTTTTTGACATTTTTCCATATTAAAAAGAACCATAACAATTTCACTTTTAACTATTTTTAATCAAGTTAAAACTAAAAATTGTCTACTCATTGGAAGAGTCTCATAGACCATTTATATTCAGTGAAGTTTTCTTCAGAGAAATGATTATTATTCAAATTTTGGTGCTCTTAGAAAAATCAAGTGTCCCCAAGGATGTTTATTTTGTTGCTTGTTTTTAACCAACAACCATTATAATAAACACATTGTTTTTATTAAGTATCACCTTTCTGTTCTGCTTGATGATTTCTTCAGTTTAGTTTTCCAAATTACAACTTTTTAAAAACGAAAGTCATTGTGCTGTAAATTTTATAATTTCAGTTGATCTCAGGCATAATTATTCTCTTCTCTTATGTATGAGATAGAATCAGGAAATGTAAACCCCTTGCTCTAAGGCCAGTGGTTTGATTTGTTTTTAGTACTCTTTGCATAGATATACCACTTAGTTTTTTTTCTTGGTGTCTAGTTAAGATTTCATATTGGTACTTGATATTTCCTTACTTATCTTGATATGAAATAAGAGGGAACTGAGGGGACTAGAGACACTTATTAAACTGTGGCCAGTTATTTTCTTCATCAAGTTTAATTAACCATTAGGATTGTTCACTCTTGGTACATAACAGATAGCAGAATATAGCGGGATGAACACGTTATTGAAGATAGAGAACGCTGGCTGAGTCTTGGGTCTGCATCTTGGGTCTGCTACATATCACTGTATGGAGTTGGACATGTTACTCAATATCTCTTGGCCTCAGCATCCTGTATAAATTAGGGCTAATAGTGTTCACTTTAAAAGTTGTTATGAGAATTAAACATTGGTTTTCTATATAGGCATCCACATATTACCTGCATCCACATAGCAGATGCTCAGAAATGTTGGTTCTTTCTCCTTTCACTAATGGAAAATGTTGGAAAGGACTTAGAATAAAAGATTATGTAGCAGAGATCCATAAGATATACTCAGAAGTTATTTTCTACATTTTAAAGACAAACTTTACATTTAAGATTAAACTTTACATTTAAGATTTCTTTTTCTATTAAATTTTACTGTAAGCTGGGAAAAGGAAAGCCAAGCTTCAGCCTTAGATTTTTTTTTTTTTAAATGAGAGAGAGCAGCATTGTGAGCACTATGCCTTTATATTTATACATAGGAGGGAAACAAGAACCAGAGGAAATAGTTGTAGAAGAAAGTTGAAAGGCCTTGGGCAGAGGAGAAACATGAGTTTTTTTTTTTTTTTTTTTTTTTTAAGAGAGAGAGGGGGGGGAGGGAGGGAGGGAGGGGGAGGGGGAGAGAGAGGGGATTTTTTAATATTTATATTTTAGTTTTCAGTGGATACACATCTTTATTTTATTTTTATGTGGTGCTGAGGATTCAACCCAGTGCCCTGCACATGCCAGGCGAGCGTGTTACCGCTTGAGCCACATCCCCAGCCCAAAGCATGAGTTTTTGATTGCAAAAACTAGTCTCTTAACTAGTGCAAAGAAGTTGTATTCCATTGATTCTGATTAGATTTTGAAAAACCTAAACTCATAGTAAGAGTTCTTGCTTGTTTTTTAAATATAATTTTATGTAATATCTTTAAAATCATATTGCTTTCATTAAATGTTCTAGGATCTATACATATGTAGCATATTTTCCCTATCTTCTCTTTAGGTATATGGTTGTGTACTTCCAAGATACATTCAGAATAAAGATCCAAAAAGTCCAGAATATTCTGTCATTAAAGAAAAGTTTTATCATACTGTACTTAATAAGCCAGGAAAAAAAAATGACCATATAGATATTAGGAAGATTGTAACAATTAATGTTAAAATAAAGATTGAGTTAACTTTCCACTAAGCAAAAAATGAAATTATTGTCAGTTTTGATCAATTGAGTTTTCTCCACTGCTTCTTTGTTTTAAATGTATTTATTTTCTCCAATTTATATTATAAGGTTTTCTGAGATTTGAGATTTTCTTGAATGAAATAATTTTTTTATGCATTAAGTAGATAATAGAAGTAAAGAGAGAAGGCATGTTTAAAGAATTTTTCTATTGATGAAATTTTACTGTGACTGTTTCACTTTCTGTTTTGGTGGAGATGTTGAAGATGCTATCTTCTTATGTATTCATTATTATAAAATTTGTATCTCTTTTACATCATTTATTCTGTATTTCAAATTAAGGTGTACAATTTTTGTTGTACACTGAATGGGATTCTTTTATTGTAGGACAGGCTATGTATCTTGTAGTATTTTTATGTTTAAAGAGACATGTTCACATAGTAAGCTATAAACAGAAGTCTAATATTAAGACAATTGCAGGTCCTAGTTTCAGAGAATAGCTCTGTACTTCATAAAATTTGGAAGCACTGCACATATCTAAGGAATTATTATTCAGAGTGGTAAACATTACTAAAATCCCATTCAGTCATTGTTCTCTTAAAGCATCGTAAATAGGAGGGACAATTATGTGGGGAAGTGACTTGTATTTTCAAACTATTTGTGTAGAAATTATAATATGTTAGAGGGCTAATGTAATAAAGACCTAAAAATATTAAAAAGTGAATCATTACATTAATCTCATATTTTCCTGTGTTTTACTGTTTGACCTTGACTTGGATTTGTTTTTTAGCATTTGTGTACATCAATGGCAGAATCATCCAGTGATTCCGAACGCTTCCGCTTTCATGACCGATTGAGTCAATGGGCTACCAGATCAACTCATAGGGAAACTCGAAGTAATCCTACAGTCACCGAGAAGGTCAACACTATAACAAGTACTTTACAGGTTAGTTTAATAGTGGTTGTATTTCATAGATTTTAAATAGTTTGAGCTGAGAAATAGTTTTAGTGTATTGATTTTCTTACTACTGTAACAAATTACCACAAAGCTGAAGACTTAAAAAAAACTAAACTTGTTTTCTTAACAGTTCTGTAGGTCAGAAGTCTGAAAAAATTTGTTCCCTTGTCTTTTCCAGCCGCCCCCACTTCTTGTTTGTGGCTCCCTTTATCTTCAAAGCCAACAAGGATGTTAAGGTTAAGCCCTTCTGATCACCTGTCCTGCCTCTCTCTTTTTTTTTGTTTAGTCTTTGGGGATAAACCCAAGGTTTTGAGCATGATACACAGGTGCTCTACCACTGAGTTATATCCCCTGCACCCACTTTTCCTTTTAAGGATGCTTGTGACTTCTTTTTTGTCCAATTAATAATGCTCTATATCTCAAGGTCTTTAGTCACATCTGTAAAATCTTTTTTGCCAAGTATGGTAAGGATCATATTCATAGGTTCTGGGGTATAGGACTTAGAAATTGATGAGTTCCATTATTATACATGATAGGTTGTTAAGAACGTTCTGAAATGAAGCAATATTTCTATATAAAATATGTGGGAGTGAAACCAGAAGAAATTATCATAGTAGATTTTTTTTTTTTTTTTTTTTTTTTTTTTGGTACCAGAGATTGAACCCAGGGGTGCTTAACTACTGAGCCACATCCCCAGCCCTCTTTATTTCTTATTTTGAGACAGAGTCTTGATAAGTTGTTTAGGGCTTGCTAAATTGCTGAGGCCGGTTTCATAATTGTGATTCTCCTGCCTCAGCCTCCTGAGCCACTGGGGTTACAGGCATGTGCTACCATGCCCAGCCTTGTAGTTGATCTTCTTGTGCACATGTGCCTTTAGAGAGGTTTTGCTGAAGTCGGCTTTATGGAGGAGTAGTACACATAGAGATACCATTTTGATCTAGAGGCTTACTTAAGACAGTGTTTGAAAGTTTGACTTAGGCAGTGAGTTTTCTTTCCATATAAAGAACTTGGGAAAAGGGTGAGGGAAGGGTAGCACAGTCATGCTAGAAAAACGAAAACTCAGAAATAGATTTTTTTTTTTTCCTATTCATGAATCCCTTACTTTTGCCTTAGCCTGGATAAGCATGGATTTTGGCTTTGTTTTGGGTTAGTATGTAATTTCTCTGGAAAAGCTACAATTTGATTTAAAATAAGAAGGCCTATTCTATTTAAACTTATTTAAACTGACACAATAATGGAAATTTAGGGCATGAATCCTTGTACTTTCCCATCACAAAGACACATTAGGTAAGTAGGTATTTTTGAAAGAGATGCCTCCATTAATGTTGTAGGGAAAATCTAGCATATTTAGGTGGAAACTGTTTTTCTTATGATTAGAACTAAATTTATTGTTAATAGCTAAAGGTGAAAGAATACTTATTTTTTTCTTTTCTCCTAATCAAGTTCTGAAGTGAAGTAATAATTTTAAAGAACATTAATCCTAATGATTTGCATCTCTTATACACAGTCTATTGGATTTGGTTTTTCACAATTATTTTTCTATGAAAAGGAAGTGAATTAGAGGTACACAAATTTGATAATTAGGGTTCTTTTCAATTTGTGGTTTGTTGTCAACTTATGGACTCTTGGATAAGGCTTTAAATTATATGCTTTAGATTTCACACACATGAATTGAAGATGGGTTTGAGTTTTTTTCCTCCATGGTGTTAATTAAGGTTTATTTGATATTTATGAAGTATATTGATAGCTGACTTAATTGTGAAATAAATTATACCCTTTACAAACTATTGGCTTAGGTGTTTAACATACTACTCAGATCAATTAGGAAAAACAGTGTTTGGAACAATTAATAGAGTCTGTTTTCTTTATCAAGGACACCAGTCGGAATCTTCGACAAGTGGACCAGATGCTTGGGCAATATCGAGAATTTAGTAATGGACAGGCGGGTGCTATCGAACAGGTGAGAACGTTCACATATGTTTTCATTATTGCTTACCTAGCTTTTTGGGAGTAGTTTTTGGAGATTGGGTATGTAAGCTTAAGGAGATAACCAATGTGAATAGCTCTAATTTTTAAGCTGCTTTGCTATTTTAAGTTTAAATTTAGGTTATCTTATCGGATTGCCAGATAGCTTATATAGATTAGATTCTATTGAATTTGAAAGCTTTATGTCAGAGATGGGAGAATTTAGGACATGAGTAAACAGAATGTTCTAAACTTGGGTCACAAATATTATTCATGGAAAGATACAAATTTTAAAGGTGGCTAATTTTAAGGTAACACATATTCATCGTTCATTGTCAAAAAGGTAACAATTTTGGTAGTTTCTTGTATATATTTCAGAGCATTTTCTATGCATGTTACAAGCATGCATATGATGGCTTTAGACAATAGAACAGTATAAAATATAATGCTATGCATCTTTTCCATTAAGTTATGCTGTCACTATTCCTATAATTTTATGTAGTTCTACCTCCTTTATTTTCACAGTTATATAATATTCCAAAGTATGGATGTATCCAGTAAACTGTGTGGCAGGGACCATTATTTCACACATGTTTTTGTGTAATCCTGTAGGATACCTGGAGATAGAATTGATAGGTTAAAGAGTATGCACATTTGAAAGTTTGCTGGATATTTCCAAAGTGCCCTTTCAAAGATGCACCAGTTTGTACTCACTTTACATGGGGTTGTAAGAAGGACAAATGATCCAGAATTTTGAAATTGGGTGAATAAATATTTAATATTAATTAACATTCATTTTTCTAATTATGTTTTTTCTTCTTTTGGAATTTGTTTCCTCATCTTCTGTATACTCTTGCAAAACTAATTAAATTTATTCCTTCATGTTTCTAATGAGTATGTACTGTAATAAGATTAATATATTATAATGATTATTTTTTATGTATCTTTGCTGTACTGAATTGTTATAACTGTCAAGTTATAATTGACTTGTTATCCTCTTCAAAAGTATAGTCATACTCATTTGCTTGTAATTAGAAACTAATTGCCCGTACAAAAGAAAACATATTTCTCTGGTAAAGATTTCTACTACTTTCATTTAGAAAATAAACTTAGGCTTGCCTATCATGCCTAAGTCCCTGGCTTCAATACCCAGTACTATGAAAGCACAAAACCAAAAAGGAAAATAAATTTGGGCATTTTTTGCTCTTAGAGAATTCTTATGCTTTAAGATGTAGTTGAAGCTGTAGAATTTATATATTTAGGTAGCTCATGAATTGATTTAAGTTAATTAATAATCTCTGCCTTTTTATTTATTTGTGAAAAGTTGAAAACATTTATTGTTAACTAGTAACAGAACAATCCTACTTTGTCAAGTTGAATGTTAGAGTTTTACTTATAATAGAAAATTTCTTTTGAATTGTGCAATTGGGAAATGAAATTATGTATTAGAGAAATTTCTCTATAGACAAGCATTTAAAGCACAAAATGTGTTCTCCTGTGGCTTTAAGTCTCTGATGGGGCTAGAGTTGACTAATGCTGAACTTTCTGGGGAGTGGTTTTATTCATGGGAAATAATCTCAGCAGGTATTTCTTTCCATCTGAGTTGTAAGTACATTGACTGCAAAGCTACTCATAGAAAAAATAAGACTCAGGAGAGCCAGAGTCTTTGTTTTTGCTTCAGGCTATTTCTTAGTCTACTCTTGTTTTTCCTCAGTTTCTTCAAATTCTTGTTCTGTTAAAACAGTTGATTCTCAATGATTTTTCCTCCAGCTTATCCAAGTACTATGCTTTATATTATATTCATTCAATGTAGCAATGAATTTTATCTTGCTCCTCAGAAGTTACTTTCAGGGAAGGGGAAACACCTGCCATAACCTTTGGGGAGACATATAACTGAGAAAGAATATTTCTTACAAGTTATTCTGATGGGCCTTTCACTGAAAATTGCTTTCACAACGTTAAAATATTTATTGTTATGAAATATATCATGCCTAAAAATGGTTACATGTAATGTGCTAACTATCGTGTGATTTATGTGAGTCTTAATAGTCTTCAAGTCTTTCAAATACTTACTGTAATTGACCATCTTTCTTCTTTCTTTTTAAAAATCAATGTGTGTTCCGCAATCAAACAAATCCTCTTGCTGTGGAACATGCTTTTTTTTTTTTTTTTTTAAATCCTGTGATAGGTTAAACTTAGCCAATGCTCAGTCATTTAAAAAAAAAAAAACAAAAAACTCACCATGCTAAATGTTCATTGCCTCGTTGGAATTAGTATTTCTCTTATAAAATATAAAAATATTTCCTAAAAAATGAAATCAACTCTCTTGCTCTGGGGAAGATAGGAACTTTTATTAACCTAGATTTTGTAAATGATTTTATTGCTAAACCTCAGGAAACAGAGATAGTGATATATATTTGCTTAAATTTTAATTTTCTTAGAGTTTAACTTTGTGAGCATAATTTATCAAAGTATGAGGGAAAGAGTTTAGAAATATAAATATTTTGTGCAATGTTTTCCTCCTGAGATTATTTCCCATCAAGGTCACTGTAAAAATTATTCCTTTTGGTCTTGTAAAGTCTAATTGCCGGGATCATGTTAGGTCAAATTTTGGACTAATTTTCCTTAAAATATTTATGACTTCACTATTGTTTCCTTGAATCTTTAAAATCACCAACCATAAGTTTAATTCATTGCTTATAATATGTGAAGGCTCTTCTCTGAGGGGTTGAACAGTGCTAGAATACCTAACTTTTCATAGTCTCTTTGGGAATTTCTCCCAAATAGTGAAAGTAAGTGTCTTTTGAGAACAATGTACTAGTCTCTCAATAGTGTATCCCCTGCACTCTATGTATGTTAGCTATTAGTTCTGTTAGCAAGGCTATAAGAGATATTATTAATATTCTCATTTTCAAGATAAGAAAACTGGGTCACTGAATAGTCACTAACCTGCCCGTGGTCTCTTAAGTGTAGCAAAGGTAGGAGTTTGTTTCAGAACCCAGTATCAGTATTCATCTACTTCATCAGTCATAGTTACTCAAATCTTCATGATTTATATTTATAAAAGTTGGGGCTTTAGATTTAAAGTTTGAAGGGTTATATAATTGTACATTGAGAAACTAGATATTGGAAATTACATCATTATAAACAGAAGGCCTTTGTCTCACAGGTCATTATTATTATAGCTGGTACAATGTCTAGAATGAAAGTTAGATGGAAGAAGTATAGATAAAGAATTGGGAATAAGTCAGGTGGTGAGGTAAGATTGTACTGAGGTGTTGCTACAGGTGGCTTGTCTAGTTGCAATTTTAAGCAATGGGGTGGAGTCTGTGAGTTATCTGAACCAGTACTGACTTTACCCCCTTCTTCCTAAGAAACAAGTATTGATTTTTCACTAACCTTTCTTGTTGCTGTTCTAGTCAACAAATCATAGTTAGTTGGATAGTGTGACTTTGGGTCTTTTGGCATCAAGAACGTTTTGAATTTGTTGGAGGTTTGAGAACATTTGGACCAAAGAAGATATGTGAAGGTTTTATTTTAAAACTTACTATGAAGATTTGGAATGAATTATGCTTCTTAGTGTTAGACTACTGCTAGAACTGTGCAATTGATTTGCTTAGTGCCTAGAATACTTCTAGTACCACATGTTCCTGTTCATGAGAGAGCAGGGTAAATCCTTGTGGTAATGCTATAAAAATGGAACGTCTTGAAGAAAGAATATTCAACATAAAAAGTTAATATCTTGTGTAGTAGAAATTTGTGCTGAAGTTGATGAGTTAAAGTAGTTAATACTGGGTGTAAAAGAAAAATACAGTTCTCTTGATTCGAAGCAGCAAATTAAATTCATTTTTAAGGTACAGATTGACTAAAAAATAATATCAAATTAGAGTTTGGAGACTTTTAATAGGTGATTTTTTTTCCTAATTAAGTACTCTGATTAAAATTTCACTTTGGAGTAGGAGAATGTCACCATCTGGTATGCGAACTTTGTAAGAATATTGAATATTAAATAATAAAGTCCAGGTTTTTCCTCTTATTTAATGGGCTTCATTTGTCAGATGCACTCATTGACATAGATACTAACCATTTATCCTACTGCAAAGTTGAGTTATCTACTGCTGCTTTGGGTGAGCTTCAATAATTCACTAATTGTCTAAAGATAATAACTGTTCATAATTTTTCAATAACTTTAATATTAACTAATAAGAGTATGGCTAAGAAATTTTAACCAAAGAAATTCTTTTAAAAACCATCCTTTTGTAAACATATTTCAGATTTTTAGAATTAGGTTCTTAAGTTCACTTGTTTAAAATTTCATTCCCAAGTCTCTCATGAATCTACTGGACAGGAGAGTAATTTTTCCAAAATTTTGCCTTGAGGCTAGTGGAGGGGACGGGACAAAAACAAACATGTTGTCTTTGGAGTCAGAATTGAAATCGAATCCTGATCTTTCCTCTAGAAACTACCTCAGTGATTCTGGGCAAGTTACTAATAAACCTTTCTGAGACTGAGTTTCTTCATTCAAAAAGTGAATATAACCATATATACTTCATTATAACTAACATTTACTTAAGAGCTCATACTGTTTTGGCTACTTGCTAAGCATTTATCTTTGAGTTTCTTTTTTTTTTTCTTGTTATTATGGTTTTATTTATTTATTTTTTTATTGTTGGTTGTTCAAAACATTACATAGTTCTTGATATATCATATTTCACATTTTGATTCAAGCGGGTTATGAACTCCCATTTTACCCCGTATACAGCTTGCAGAATCACATCAGTTACACTTCATTGCTTTACATATTGATATACTCATGTCTGTTGTATTCTGCTGCCTTTCCTATCCTCTACTATCCCCCCGTCCCCTCCCCTCCCCT